AGTCATGAAAGATGATGCTTCAATTCATAGCCCCTCTATACTAATTACAGATGTAAATACAGCAAGTGTTGCCATCGGGCATCCTCTGCTGACAACAGCTTATGCCTAAATTTTACAGCAGATGGTTCATGAAATTTCATACTTTGCAAAGTGAAGGACTATCACTTAGCAGCTAGTCAGATACTGGTTGATATTTTTCCTGGCGTGGGTAGACAATGAAAACAAACACCTGACCAGCCACATTTGGCAACCCCACTATTCAGTTCCTTCATTAGATTCTATAACCGAGCCTTAGTGTGAACAATCTAAAATGTATATTGACAGGCTTTTCATTGTTATAGTCACCATTTTTCAAAGGAAATATTAGGAACAAATTTTCTGTACATAGCCAGTGTCCCATTTAAAAGCCTTTGTAGTTTATGTAGCAATGTTGATAACAAAATATAATGCACTAAACAACCATACACTTGATGTGAATTCTTGACCCCACTCAGACAGCGCTTGTAGCAGGGAATATCATTCAGGTAGAAAATCAGGCAACATCTTTTAATTGCTGTTCATTTTCTATCCCTCGTCTCACATAAACAGGAGAGTTCGGTTTTGTAGTTATGTCATGTATGCATATTTGACTGCTCTCTATGGTCTAGAAACAAAATATAACATAGTATAGAAACATTTAAGCTCTATTCACATTATATGTACAGTGGGGATCGAAAGTTTGGGCACCCCAGCTAAAAATGTGTATTATTGTGCATAAAGAAGCCAAGGAAAGATGAAAAAATCTCCAAAAGGCATCAAATTACAGATTAGACATTCTTATAATATGTCAACAAAAGTTAGATTTTATTTCCATCATTTACACTTTCAAAATAACAAAAAACAAAAAAATGGCGTCTGCAAAAGTTTGGGTACCCTGCAGAGTTAATATCTTGTACTGCCCCCTTTGGCAAGTATCACAGCTTGTAAACGCTTTTTGTAGCCAGCCAAGAGTCTTTCAATTCTTGTTTGAGGTATCTTTGCTCATTCTTCCTTACAAAAGTCTTCCAGTTCTTTGAGATTTCTGGGCTGTCTGTCACGCACTGCTCTTTTAAGGTCTATCCATAGATTTTCAATTATGTTGAGGTCAGGAGATTGTGAAGGCCATGGCAAAACCTTCAGTTTACGCCTCTTGATGTAATCCCCCGTGGATTTCGAGGTGTGTTTAGGATCATTATCCATTTGTAGAAGCCATCCTCTCTTTAACTTCAGTTTTTTCACAGATGGCATCAAATTACCATCCAAAATTTGCTGAAATTTTATTGAATCCATTTTTCCTTTCTACTCGTGAGATGTTCCCTGTGCCACTGGCTGCAACACAACCCCAAAGCATGATTGATCCAACCCCATGCTTAACAGTTGGACAGAGGTTCTTTTCATTAAATTCTGTGCCCCTTCTTCTCCAAACGTACCTTTGCTCATTCAGGCCAAAAAGTTCCATTTTAACCTCATCGGTCCACAGAACTTGTTTCCAAAATGCATCAGGCTTGTCTATATGTTCATTTGCAAAGTTCAAACGATGATTTTTGTGGTGAGGACGTAGAAGAGGTTTTCTTCTGATGACTCTTCCATGAAGACCATATTTGTACAAGTATCTCTTTATAGTGGAATAGTGTACCACAACTCCAGTGTCTGCCAGATCTTTCTGGAGGATCGTGCAGTCAAACGTGGGTTTTGAATTGTTTTTCTCACAATCCTGTGAGCTGTTCTGTCTGATATTTTTCTTGGTCTTCCAGATCTTGCTTTAACTTCCACTGTTCCTGATGACTGCCATTTCTTAATTACATTCCAAACAGAGGATATTGACATCTGAAAACGCTTTGCTATCTTCTTATAGCCTTCTCCAGCTTTGTGAGCGTCAACTATTTTCAGTATCAGTTTTCTAGACAACTGCTTAGAAGAACCCATGGTGCTGATTGTTGGGGCAAGGTCAGATGAGTCTGGGCATTTAAAACCTTTGAGATTGACATCACCTGGTCTTCCCAGACGATAATTGAGAACAATCCATGACACTGGCAGGTCTCAGCTTGGCAAAGGGGGCAGTGCATGCTATAAATTCTGCAGGGTGCCCAAACTTTTGCAGACGCCATTTTTTTGTTTTCTGTTATTTTGAAAGTGTAAATGATGGAAATAAAATCTAACTTTTGTTGACATATTATAAGAATGTCTAATCTGTAATTTGATGCCTTTTGGAGATTTTTCGATCTTTCCTTGGCTTCTTTATGCACATTAATACAAATTTTTAGCTGGGGTGCCCAAACTTTCGATCCCCACTGTATATATATATATATATATATATATATATATATATATATATATATATATATTTCCAACTCCCCTTGAAATGGCAAAAAATTGTGGTGCCAAAAATTGTCAGTGTTCGACACTTTTAAAGCCTTTACAGGTTATCAGGTAAGTATTAACCATGAACTGTGGTTCTTGATTTATTGCTCTCACTCCGATGTTTGTAGTGATATCTCACATGTGACTCTATTACCAACTATACCCCTATGTGACAGGATGGTCATTCATTGTACTGTAAAAGTGATCAGGTGGCACTAAAGCTGTCTGTATCACTTTTATAAGAAAGCCAAGAGTCATCTGAAAAAATCAATGCCTAACTCATAGCTGTAGTAGCAGCCGTAAGCTTGTTTTAAATGATAAGTTCACCTTTTAGACAAAAATAATAAATGCAATTTTTTTTACCTGCAAAAAAATGTACATTTATTATTTTTGTCTACAGGAGCCTGGAAAGCATTGCACCAGTGATCAGTAGATCACTGATACCATGCAGGTCTCCTGCAGATCTCTCAGAATATCTGCTTGCCGTATGGGATGTACATGCAAGCACATATTCTGACAGGAAGCTTCAATGAACTACCACGGTGCTCCACAGCGACCGTGGTACTTAATTGAAAATTTCAAGCCGACAGCCGCTAAGGCTGTCGGGACTTGCAGTTCATTCATTCACGGAAGTCCGGGAATGCATTATGCAGCCGTGTGGGCGGAGCCCCACGCGGCCGCGCTATTTTCAAATCTGACAGATAGTATGGGGAAACTTCTCCCCGTACTGTCAGAGGGAGGGGGGCACAGCTATGGGAACATAGTACATGCTCCACCCTAAAAAGTTCACCTTTGGGAACATGTTACATGTTGCACTCGTTTTTAGGGTGGAACAACATGTAACATATTCCCAAAGCCACAGCCACACCTGCTGCCCCCCTCTCCCTCCCTCTGACAGATAATACTTGGAAACTTCTCCTAGTACTATCTGTCAGATTTAAAAACAGCACAGCCATGCGGGGATTTGCCCTCAAGGGTGCATCATTCATTCACGGACTTCCCTGATTGAATGAACTGCAAGTCCTGACAGCCTTAGCGGCTGTCGGCTTGTAGCTTTCAATTAACAACCACTGTCGCTGTGGAGCACTGTGGTAGTTCATGGATTCTTCCTGTCAGAATATACTGATCGCTGGTGCAATGCTTTCTAGGCTCCTGTAGACAAAAATAATAAATGCACATTTTTTTACCTGCAAAAAAATGTGCATTTATTATTTTGTCTAAAAGGTGAACTTATCCTTTAAAATAATGCTAGCTTCAGGCAATTCATAATTGTAAGATTTAATGAGGCACCTAAGGAGAGCTGGAAAAGGTACTCATTCCTAAGAATTAATTTAATGGGGAAAAATAGTTTTTCTAATGCAGTTTTTTTTTTTTGGTGACCTGAATATCTTTGATGTGAAATGATCAATGATCACTGGATAAATTATTAGAAAGGAGTACAATAACTATTGTGGCTTTGTGAATTGAGATATTTGTCTGAAAACTTAACTGAATAGTTACCAGATTATATAACCAGTGATGCTGTAGCTTGTCCAATAGCATCCTAGCAACCAGTGATGCTGTGTTTTAATGGTTTCTAGGACAAAGGACAGTTTAGCAGCATTAGTTGTTATGGTGCAGGCAGGTGCCTGTGTATACAGAGCAACATTACTGAGCCACAGTGAGGATGGAGTTTCTCCACCAAGTGCTGCCAAAGTGGTCACTTCACTTTCCCTCATTGGTGGCACGCCCTTGCATGTATTTCTAAAACAGATTTGCACACAGTGGTATAGAAACAGTGCTCACAGCAGGCACAGCCTTGACTGGGCCCATGCTGGTTAACACTACTGTTGCACTTTATTACCCTATGTTAAAACTAGTAAAACGTGTAAATATGTCACATACACAGTAGAGCAGTGGTCGGCCTTGAGGCCAGATGTCGCCCTTTGCTTGCCTTTCTCTGGCCCTTGAGGCACTATTCCTGCCACTAACACCAACAATGTTGCATAATTCCTGGCACTGACACCAACAGTGGGGCACTATTTCTGCCACTGGCACCAACGATGTGACAGAATTCTTTCCACTGACAACAAAAATAGTGCACTATTCCTCCAACTGACACCAACTATTTCTCACCGAATACCAAAGATCGGGCATTGCTTACTCCCACTGGGCACAGTTCAGCTCCCCCTAAAGTCTGAAGGACAGTAAACTGGCCCTTTAGAAAGTCTGGAGACCCCTGGTGTAGAGGTACAGCACAACTCACTGCTTCTATGTGCTTCTTCTCCCTGAGCTTTGCACAACAGGCTTCAAGATTTTCATGGTAGACAGGTAAGCTTCTGATGTCCCTGGTGTGACATAGAACACACAAACAAGCACATGAGATCTTTTGCTAGCACCTCTATGCTGGGGCTTTGCGTGTGCTTTTAAGTTTTGACCTAGTAATGTGAGACACTAAAAGTGGGCTTCAAAGTGTTGGGCCTTTCCAAAATGTGCATCATATTGGCTCAAATACTGTAGGTTTATACAACACCATTAGTTGTATAAGTTATCTACCAGTACTTTAAAACCTTATAACATTTATAAAAAATCCTAAATACTTGAAAGTATATGAAATAAATTTATATATTTGTTAAATGCAGTCACGCACTTCAGGAGGAGGAGGAAAATCATCAGATGAGACGGTTTATGAAGTTTCGGCAGATATCCTGAGTAAACTCCCTATGAATTTTGACACGGAAGCTGCAATGAGACGTTATCCCACCACTTACACTCAAAGTATGAATACGGTATTGGTCCAAGAAATGGGTCGATTCAATAAATTACTTATGACTATCAGAGATTCTTGTATCAATATACAGAAAGCAATAAAGGTTTGTATGATACATTCATAACTGGTAGTGTATTTCTGTGATTAAACTGCATGCCATCCATGGACGTCTTAGGTACAGTGAGGAACAGAAGTATTTGAACACCCTGCGATTTTGCAAGTTCTCCCACTTAGAAATCATGGGGATGTCTGAAATTCACATTGTAGGTGCATTCCCACTCCGAGAGAGACAGAATTAAAAAAAAAAAAATCAGGAAATCACATTGTATGATTTTTAAAGAATTTATTTGTCTTGCACTGCTGAACATAAGTATTTGGACACCTAAGAAAATCAGTGTTAATATTTGGTACAGAAGCCTTTGTTTGCAATTACAGAGGTCAAAGTTTCCTGTAGTTCTTGACCAGGTTTGCACACACTGCAACAGGGATTTTGAAGACACAGTAACAGGTCTTTGAGAGCCAGAATTCTTGCTGTGTCTTAGGTGTTTAAATACTTATGTTCAGCAGTGCAAGACAAATAAATTCTTTAAAAACCATACAATGTGATTTCCTGAATTTGTTTTTTAAATTCTGTCTCTCAGAGTGGGAATGCACCAACAATGTGAATTTCAGACCCCTCCATGATTTCTAAGTGGGAGAACTTGCAAAATCGCAGGGTGTTCAAATACTTCTGTTCCTCACTGTATATAATATAGAATGTAGTGGGGCACAGTGTTTGTAATGCTACTGTGGGATTTTTACATTGAGATGTGGTAACAATCAGTAATCCTAAATACCAAAAGCATGACTGTGTACCAGCTAACTGTAATGTATACAGTATGTTATAACTTCCTATTATTCCTCTGTTTAAAGCAGAACTACAATGTATCTGAGCACCACAAACCAAAAGTGCTATTTTATTCATTTTTAATATTCAAAGAAAAATCACCCATCCATCCATGTCTTCTGACTTTATTTTGCTGAGAAATCACTTAGAAAAACAACCCCCTAGCATTTCTGGCCATGGCAGACGATTCAGGTGACAATGACTTCCTGGAATCCATATGCCCTTAGCTCATTCATAAAGTCAGGAGATCGTGCTTAGCTGAGAAAACCCCTCCTCCCCTCCGGAAAGACTACTGGGATGTAGGACATCATTTTCTTAGGCATGGAAAATAGGAAGTAACTAAAGACATGTAAAAAAAAACTGTTTAAAACAAATAAATATGATATATTTCCTATCTATTTACTAATGCTAGCAGCATAAGGATTCAAACTAGTCAATGTGGATTGAGAGAATGAAGTTCCTCTTCACTAAAGGCTCAGTACCTAAAATCATTTTTAGCGTTGTTCACACCTGCATAGTGAGCCCTCACAGAACAGGAATGGGCCATTCGCTATGTGTCTCCAATATGTTTTTTATGGTGGCATGAAATTGATGCAAATCTTTAATACATTTTAGTATTGTTAGTTCTGCTTGTTAGGTTGCTTGTATTACCAAAGTAGAATTATTAGTAATAAGTGGAATAAACAGGTGGATTTTAATGGCTAAAGCCTCAGTGTGTGCACAGAATGCTCAGTATATGCATATTATTTCTAAATGTATTTCTTTTGGGTCAGGGCCCTCTCTAATGAACAGAGTTTTTCAGATTGTTCTAGTTTTACGATAATTAGGTCTGTTGCAGTGTTGATGTTCATTATTTTATCTTTTATAAACAGTCTGTGTTAAATCTGAACTCCAGGCAAACAGCTAAATACACAGATTAAATACATATATGAGAGTTGTTTTACCTGCCAACGGATTTGTACTTCTGTCCATCCTATTTTGACATTTACACAGCTCCGCCACACACCGCAACCCTTTCTAGCGGGGGCAGGAGGGTAAAATGACCTTTCACTGCTGCAGTTGTTCTTTAACTTACAGCTTTTCTCCCAACCCCTACCATCTGTGTGGACAGTGGAAGGAGAAGCAACAGACTGCCCTCTCCTCCTATCCACATGTTCCTTGCACTAGCGGCAGCACAACTGACTGGTTCTATATGCTATTTTTCATTCCTTCTTCCTGAGCTGACGAGAGGCTGATGCCCAATCAAATTGAGGAACTTAAACTGTTTGCCTTTAAAATATACGTTTAATGATGTATTAAAGATTACAGCACTAGATTGCTTTGTGTCTTTTGTATCTGCTTAGAGTTCAGCTTTAAGAATTGATTTGTCACCTTATAGGATAAAGGTTTAAAGATAGATTGCTTGTGATTGTAAAGATGTTATTTTTTATGCAAGGGAAATGTGTCTCTACTCTTGTTTATAACCAATCTTCAACAATTTTTACAAATTGTTGGCTGTTTCAATCAGGGTTTGGTGGTTATGTCTGCGGATTTGGAAGAAGTAGTTCTGAGCATACTAAAAGGAAAGATTCCTGGAATGTGGATGAAGAAATCATACCCAAGTCCCAAACCTCTTGGCAGTTATGTTAATGATTTTCTTGCAAGGCTAAAATTTCTACAGGTAAGACAATTACCATTAACACTTCTTGATTACAGACAAAAACATAAGCTAAATTTAATTACATCAGCTTTCTAAACTAATTATAGAACAAGTACACACTACAACAAAAAAACAAAAACCACAATGAACACAGCTATTAGGATGACCATTTACTGTACAGTGTATCCAGTGGATATAAAAAGTCTACACACCCTGTTAAAATGTCAGGTTTTGTGATAATTGTGCGCACAGATATGGACAATGACAACCATAATTTGGATCATACTCTGCAAATGTCATTCTCACTCCAAATCAGTCCCCCTCCCTTTTTTTTGAATGGCATGTGGTACGTGTGTATGCTGGGGTCACAAGATCATCGGGAACAGCTGGATACACTTCATGGTTGTAAACCCAATTAGCTGGTTCCATGATGTCTGTCAGACCCTTGCCTTGGTCTGGTCATAAAGATATAAATCCGTCAGTCACTGGACATGAAAGCATTCCAGCGTGGCAGTAAATCTACATCCCACTTGAAACCACTTTTTCATACAATGTCTTAAATCCCGGCAGGAACAAGGTACAATAAAACAAAGCATATATTCAGATAGGTCAGTTTAATCTGAGTCACCTGATACCCTACAGCCCTGGGTGGCGTCTACAGGAGAGTAGAAAGCCATATAATTTTATCTGGAACGGTAAGATATGTCCTATTTGATGTCTGGACGTTCAGGATATCATTCTGAATATTAATCTGCTAGTAGCTAGGATGCTACATGGACTTATAGAAGGTTATTGACAATGGTATAAACGAGTGAGGGATTTGGTCATAGCCGGGGTCCCCGCCTAAAAACACCCCTCCCCAAATGAGGCGATTGGTTCTCTGCTTTAAGGAGACACCCTGCTGGGTTCCAAGAAAACAGGCTGTCATGCCTGGAGAGAGAAGATGAGAGATTCTCCCTTTTAACATCAGGAACCAACTTCGGGAAAAAAGGTACCCTTTTGTTCAGGGCACTTGAACTCTGCTTAATCCAGGACTTCTGCAAGTGTTCTACCTTCTTAAACTTCTTCCTTTATCTCTCTGTTGTGTTATTGCTCTATTTATATATATATTGGTTACATCTTTTCTGTAAATATTTTTTTATTGCATCATTTTGACCTTTTTAGTAATAAATCCTTTTCTGAAAAGCGTTGAACTGTTTCTAAAGCTTTTTAATGCAAACTAAGAATCCCGTCTCTGAAGAGTGCTACTGTGTGTTTTAAAACCTCTGGATACATCTGTCTGTGGTGACAGTGTGTATACAGACGCTTATTCAAACTTCATAGTGTTACTGCTAAGATTTGTGAGTTTCCTCCTTCTCTGTAAAAAGGTGGTGGTGGTAGTGTGAAGGGTTAATTGCGTAATTAACCTGACCCAGTAACAATCGCTCTCAGGCTGTTGGCACATAGACTGTGGTCCAGTGAGCTGGAAAATCTTTGTGCAGGGTGCAGCTGAGCGTGGCATTGTTACGCAAGTGGCATGTGGTTTTAGATTGGCTGGTCCTTCGGTCACAAGTTGGTTAGAAGGACTGGGGTCTGACACCACGCCCGTCACAGGTTTCTGTGTTGTAAAAAAAAATGAGACAAAGATAAATCATTTCAGAACTTTTTCCACCTTTAATGTGACCTATAAACTGTACAACTAAATTGAAAAACAAACTGAAATATTTTAGGGGGGAAGTAAACATAAAAAACTAGAATAATGTGGTTGCAGAAGTGTGCACACCCTCTTATAACTGGGGATGTAGCTGTGTTCAGAATTAAGCAATCATATTCAAAATTATGTTAAATAGGAGTGAGTACACTCCTGCCATCATTTAAAGTGCCTCTGATTAACCCCAAATAAAGTTCAGCTGTTCTAGTAGGTCTTTCCCGACATTTTCTTAGTCGCATCCTACAGCAAAAGCCATGGTCCGCAGAGAGCTTCCAAAACATCAGAGGGATCTCATTGTTAAAAGTAATCAGTCAGGAGAAGGGTACAAAAGAATTTCCAATTAGATATACCATGGAACACAGTGAAGACAGTCATCATCAAGTGAAGAAAATATAGTGCAACAGTGACATTACCTAGAACTGAATGTCCCTCCAAAATTGATGAAAAGACAAGAAGAAAACTGGTCTGGGGGCTGCCAAGAGGCTTATAGCAACATTAAAGGGAGCTGCATGAATATCTGGCAAGTACTGGCTGTGTGGTACATGTCACAACAATTTTATATAGTTAGTCTGGCTGAAAAAAGACAAAAAGTCCATCCAGTTCAACCATAAAAAAAAAAAATTATAATCCTACACCCACAGTTGATCCAGAGGAAGGCAAAAAATCCAGCAAATCCTGATCCAATTTGCTCCTGCAGTGGAAAAAAAATTCCTTCCTGATCCCCCGAGAGGCAATCGGATATTCCCTGGATCAACTTTACCTATAAATGGTAACCAGTTATATTCTGTGTATCCAAGAAATAATCCAGGCTTTTTTTGAAGCAATCTACTGAGCTGGCTGAACCAACTCTTGAGGGAGTCTATTCCACATTTTCACAGCTCTCACTGTGAAGAAAACCTTTCCGTGTTTGGAGATTAAATTTCTTTTCCCCCAGACGTAAAGGGTGCCCGCTTGTCCTCTGTGATGCCCTAAGGGTGAATGACTCTACTCCGAGTTCACTATATGAACCACTGATGTATTTATACATGTTGATCATATCCCCCCTTAATCTCCTCTTCTCAAGAAGGAATAAACTCAGTTCCTCTAATCTTTCCTCATAGCTGAGCTCCTCCATGCCTCTTATCAGTTTGGTTGCCCTTCTTTGTACTTTCTGAATTGGTGCCCAAAATTGAACTGCATATTCCAGATGAGGTCTTACTAATGATTTGTACAGGGGTAATATGATATCTCTCTCTCTGGAGTCTAAACCTCTTTTAATACAAGAGAGGATTTTGCTCACTTTAGAAACTGCAGCTTGGCATTGCATGCCATTATTAAGCTTGTGATCTACCAGAACCCCCAGATCCTTCTCCACCATTGATTCCCCCAGTTGTCCCCCCCCCCCCCCCCCCAGTATGTATGATGCATGCATATTTTTAGCCCCCAAGTGCATAACCTTACATTTATCAACATTGAACCTCATTTGCCACATAGTTGCCCAATTAAACAGTGCATTGAGGTCGGCTTGTAAATTGGAGACATCCTGTAAGGACGTTATTCCACTGCACAGCTTGGTGTCATCTGCAATGACTGAAATGGTATTTTTAATCCCAGACCCTATATTGTTTATAAGTATATTAAAAAGTAAAGGTCCCAACACTGAACCTTGGGGTACACCACTAATAACCCTAGACCATTCAGAGTATTAATCATTAACCACTACTCCCTGAATACGATCTTTTTTCCAGTTTTCTAACCATTTACATATGGATTTTTCCAAGCCTGTAGACTTTACCTTACACATTAGTTAGTCGTGTGTGGGACAACAATCTTTCGTATTCTTCATATGTCTGGGCTATGGGGGTAGAGTGGCAAGATGGAAGCCTTTTCTTACAAAGAAAAACATCCAAGCCCAGCTAGATTTTGCAAAAACACATCTGAAGTCTCCCAAAAGCATGTGGGAAAATGTGTTATGGTCTGATGAAACTAAGGTTGAACTTTTTGGCCATGCTTCCAAAATGTCTGGCGCAAAACCAACACTGCACATCACCAAAAGAACACCATACCCACAGTGAAGCATGGTGGTGGCAGCATCATGCTTTGGGGCTGTTTTTCTTCAGCTGGAACTGGGGCCTTAGTCAAGGTAGGGGGAATTATGAACAGTTCCAAATACCAGTCAATATTGGCACAAAACCTGCAGGCTTCTGCTAGAAAGCTGAACATGAAGAGGAACTTCAACTTTCAGCATGACAACGACCCAAAGCATACATCCGAATCAACAAAGGAATGGCTTCATCAGAAGAAAAATACTTTTTTGGAATGGCCCAGCCAGAGCCCAGACCTGAATCCAATCGAAAATCTGTGGGGGTGATCTAAAGAGGGCTGTGCACAGGAGATGCCCTCGTAAACTGACAGATTTGGAGTGTTTTTGCCAGGAAGAGTGGGCAAATATTGCCAAGTCAAGATGTGCCATGCTGATAGACGCATACCCAACAAGACTGAGTGATGTAAAAATATCAAATGGTGCTTCAACAAAGTATTAGTTTAAGGGTGTGCACACTTATGCAACAATATTATTTTAGTTTTTTATTTTTACTTCCCTCCACCTAAAATATTTCAGTTTGTTCAACTGAGTTGTACAGTTTATAAGTCACATTAAAGGTGGAAAGAATTCTATTTATCTTTGTCTCATTCTTTTACATCACAGAAACCTGACATGTTAACAGAGATGTGTAGACTTTTTATATCCACTGTACCTGATATTAGTTACATTAGCAGGGTGTTGTGAGACCATGGAGCCCCAGAATTCAGGAGAATATGCTAATATTTTTCTGTGTTGGAATATGCCAGATAGTTTTCACAAAGGGAGTAGAAAATTATTAAATAATTGGTAGTTGAGTGGTACCTTACCATTGTGTGGTCACTATAATGTCAAAGGTAACTACATACATAGCTTTTTAGTAAGCCATTCTTATTGGCAATGTACATTCAGAAATCCACAACCATTCCAGTACACTACAGGTCCCAACTTTCAATGTCCATAGTCTTATGTAGCAGCAACGTTTTGGATGTATAATTTAGGGCCACGCAAACAGATGATCCTGCAGCTACCAGAAAGGATCCAGGGAGATCTAGTGCAGCTGAAACGACAAAGGAACAGCAGTGTGAGATCCTTTTTAGCAATGTAGTTTTTTATTAGATAAAACAAAATAGTACACTCATATGTAACCCTCTTGAAATTCAGTACAGACAGTGAATCCACCAACATAGAGGTTGCAATGAAGTATCTGCTACTCCTGCTCCCTGGCTGGCATAAAAGGGAATCCAGACCTGATAGCTGTCAAACATTGCCAAAGCCCGGTGTCCAACACCATTATAATAGCAGTGATAGTGGTGCTGGATGTCAGGCATTGGAGTTCTTTGACAGCTGTCAGATCTGGGTTCCCTTTTATGCTGGCCAGGGAGCAGGAGTAGCTGATGCTTCAGTACAGCCTGATGGTACTTCTATCCTGGTGGATTCACTGTCTATGTTGAATGGCAAGAACTTACATGTGAGTGTATCATTTTGTTTTATCTAATATATTATACTACATTGCTAATGAGGATCTTGTGCTGCTGTTTCTTTGTCTTATTGACAATGTACATTATAGTGAAGTCTCCCTTGGACCTTTAGCTGCCTAGCTCAACAGTCACTTGAGAGCCACAGAATATGTATGGGGACATGTCATTGCCCAGTGTCATGCTTTGATGCATGCAAACAAGCTTCCATATCCATTCTGCTTTATTGATGATACTTTGCTTCAAGTAACATGGCAGTAGTCTGTAGCAGTTTCTATTAACATGGCAGAGGAATCGCAACATAGTTGGCAGCAGTCTCTGATTTCCAGGGAGAGGCCCAGGCTGAAAATTTGTATCTGGAAATGTTTGTGCCTGGAAATGTAAGTAGAGGTCTAATGGTGTACGTTAAGGGCAATGTCACACTAGCAAATTTGTGGCAGTGATTTGTATCATCCAGAAATCTCTCTCCCTATTTCCTCTGGCTATTTGTGATCGATATAGAGTTGCTGCTGTAGCTGGTTACAGTGCTAATCAATGGAGCTACAAATCACTGGTATACTATAATCATCATCAGCTGCACTGGACAACATGAGGAGCTACTGAATCTGGTGTCTTTAGCTCTAAATACTGCAAATAGTGAATTCTAGCAACCAAGTTACAAATCACTTGGAATTTTAGCAGCATAGACCTTTTGTTGCTGGGAAAAAATAATTTCACTTAAAGCACTAAAGAGAGCCATTCTGTAGCTGCTTTTGCATCTACAGAATCAGCAGTGTGACATGAGTCTACCTGTAGCTGTTTAAAGCAGTCTCTGAGAAATTCTTGCCAAGGCTGTCTTTTGAAGCAGTAACCCCAAACCAAAAATGGAATATTGCAGCTTACCTGTCAATAAATGTGGTGGCTGTGTTAGTTTCATTTTTAAGGTGGCTGTGTAAGTTTTATTTTTTAGAGCTTTTTTTCCTTCTGTTTTCACCTGGTAATCTGGCCAGTAGAACACCTCCTGTATTAAGAGTACCCTCACTCTGAATGAAAAAGCGCAGGGGGCACTTTTGGACAGCAGCATTGTTTGTCAGTCTTGGAGGAGGGGTTTGTTAGATGGACTAGCAACAATTCGTAACAATTTGAAGCCAAACTCTACATGTTAAATCCAGTCACATCAACATTTTTTCCTTTTAGGTTAAAGGTTTTACATAAATAAAATCTGATCATTGTAAGATTACCTGTCAGTATTAAGTGGTTTGTCTCAATCCCCTAACTGCTACATCTGTGGGACAACTTTTTCTGTTGAAAAACAGAATAACTGGCAGGATCACCAGGTGAAAATAAAAGGAAAGAAAGCCTTAAAAAAAACTAATGCAGACATCACATTTAAGAATTGGTAATCTGCATTATAATAAATGTTTGCTTTTGGGTTTAATGCCGCTTTAACATAGCTGCAATTTCCAGCAGTCTCAGGTATCATCAGTGATCTCTAAAGGTGAACTGAACCTAGATTCTCTTTAAAATTATTACATTATATTATATATGCATCATTTTACATAAATGACTGACCCTTGACAGCATGTATGTGTTTTAGTTACCTATGATTTCCTCTGCCATATATACACAGAAAAAATGTAAGATTACCAAATCTGTGTTTTTTTCTTTTTTCTTTTTGTTAATACAGGACTGGTATGAAAATGGAACCCCCCCAATGTTTTGGTTGTCAGGCTTTTTCTTCACACAAGCATTCCTGACAGGTGCTCAGCAGAATTATGCTCGCAAATACACAATCCCAATTGACCTGCTGGGTTTTGACTTTGAAGTCTTAGAAGATAAGGAATACAAACATGCACCCGAGGATGGTAAGTCATTGCTGCTCTTATACACTGCTCAAAAAAATTAAAGAAACACTTTTTAATCAGAGTATAGCATCAAGTCAGTGAAACTCCTGGGATATTGGTCAGTTAAGTAGCAGAGGGGGTTGTTAATCAGTTTCAGCTGCTTTGGTGTTAATGAAATTAACAGGTGTACTAGATGGGTAACAATGAGACGACCCCCCAAAACAGGAATGGTTTTACAGGTGGAGGACACTGACATTTTTTTTCCTACTCATCTTTACTGTTTTTCACTAGTTTTGCATTTGGCTAGGGTCAGTGTCACTACTGGTAGCATGAGGCAATACCTGGACCCTATAGAGGTTGCACAGGCAGTCCAACTCCTCCAGGATTGCACATCAATGCATGCCTTTGCCAGAAGGTTTGCTGTGTCTCCCAGCACAGTCTCAAGAACATAGAGGAGATTCCAGGAGAGAGACAGTTACTCTAAGAGAGCTGGACAGGGCCGTAGAAGGTACTTAACCCATCAGCAGGACCGGTATTTGCTCTTTTGTGCAAGGAGGAACAGGATGAGCTGATAAGAGCCCTACAAAATGACCTCCAGCAGGCCACTGCTATGAATGTCTCTGACCAAACAAAACAGAAACAGACTTCATGAGGGTGGCCTGAGGGCCCGACGTCCTCCAGTGGGCTCTGGGCTCACTGCCCGACACCATAGAGCTTAATTGGCATTTGCCATTGAACACCAGAATTGACAGGTCTGCCACTGGCACCCTGTGCTTTTCACAGATGAGAGCAGGTTCACCCTGAGCACATGTGAGACAGGTGAAAGGGTCTGGAGAAGCCATGGAGAATGTTACGCTGCCTGTAACATCGCTCAGCATGACCGTTTTGGTGGTGGGTCAGTGATGGACTGGGGAGGCATATCCATGGAGGGACACACATACCTCTACAGGCTAGACAATGGCACCCTGACTGCCTTTAGGTATTGGGATGAAATCCTTAGACCCATTGTCAGACCCTATGCTGGTGCAGTGGGTCCTGGGTTCCTCCTGGTGCATGACAATGCCCGGCCTCATGTGTTGCGAATATGCAGGCAGATCCTGGCGGATAAAGGAATTGATACCTTTGAATGGACCCATGCTCGCCTGACCTAAATCCAAGAGAACACCTCTGGGATATCATGTTTCAGTCCATCCAACACCACCAGGTTGCACCACAGACTGTTTAGGAGCTCAGTGATGCCCTGGTCCAGATCTGGGAGGAAATACCCCAGGACACGATCCGTCGTCTCATTAAGAGAATGCCCCGATGTTGACAGACTTGCATACAAGCATGTGGGGGCCATAAAAACTATTGAGTACCATTTTGAGTTGCTGCAATGAAATTTCAGCAAAACGGACTAGCCTGCTGCATCATTGTTTTCACTTTGATTTTCGGGTGTCTTTGAATTCAGTCCTCTGTAGGTTGATAATTTTCATTTCCATTAAACGATGCAGCATCTTTATGTTTCCCAACACATTACCCAGTCCATATCAGTATAGATATCCAGCATGATATTTTTCCCATTTAGATCTGATGTGTTTTCAAAGTGTTCCTTTAATTTTTTTTGAACAGTACATATTCATGAGTACAGGATAAAAGCTTTGAAACTTGCTAGCCGACTTTTTAAGAACTGTGATGAATACTGTACGTATCATGTATGAAGTGTCAGACAGCAAAATGTTTGGTACTTCCTTCCTAGCATCCAATCTGCTTCTTCTTTTCCTCTTGCTAGGACTGCATAGTATTAAAAAGAAAAATGTGTGTACAGTACACACACCGACCACTTTATTAGGTACACCTGTTCAACTGCTTGGTAACAAACTGCTAATCAGCTAATCACATGCCAGCAACTCAGTGCATTTAGGCATCTAGATGGGGTGAAGACAACTTGCTGAAGTTCAAACTGAGCATCAGAATGGGGAATAAATGAGATTTAAGTGATTTTGAATGTGGCATGCTTGTTGGTGCTAGAGGGGCTGGTCTGAGTATTTCAAAATCTGCTCATTGACTGGGATTTTCATGCACAATCATCTCTAAGGGTTACAGAGAGTGGTAAAAAAAAAGAGAAATATCCAGTAAGTGGCAGTTGTGTATAGGAAAATGCCTTGTTGATGTCAGGTCAAAGGAGAATGGACAGACTTGTTTGAGATTATAAATAGGCAACAGTAACTCAAATAACCACTTGTTACAACCAAGGTATGCAGAATACCATCTCTGAATGCACAACACATCGAACCTTGAAGCAAATGGGCTACATCAGCAGAATACCACACCAGGTGCCACTCCTGTCAGCTAAGAACAGGAAACAGAGGCTACAATTCATACAGGCTCACCAAAATTGGAGAATAGAAGACTGGAAAAGTGCTGCCTGGTTTGATGGGTCTCGATTTCACCTGCAACATTCAGATGGTAGGGTCAGAATTTGGCTTGCACAACATGAAAGCATGGATTGATCCTGCCTTGTATCAACGATTCAGGCTGGTGGTGGTGTAATGGTGTGGGAGATATTTTCTCTGCACGCTTTGGGCCCCTTAGTACCAAATGAGCATTGTTTAAATGCCACAGTCAGCCTACCTAAGTATTGTTACTGACTACAGTGTACCCATACTCATTTTATACTGGTTTCTTGAACATGACCGTGAGTTCACTGTAATCCAATGACCTCCACAGTCACCAAATCTCAATCCATTAGAGCATCTTTGGGATTTGGTGGAATGGGAGATTCGCATCATGGATGTGCAGCTAACAAATCTGCAGCAAATGTGTGATGCTATCATGTGAATATGGACCAAATTCTCTGAGGAATGTTTCCAACACCTTGTTGAATCTATGCCATGAAGAATTAAGGCAGTTCTGAAGGCAAAAGTGGGTCCAACCTGGCACTAGCAAAGTTTACCTAATAAAGTGGCCAATGAGTGTATATGTTAATGGACGATTGCTAGACTATCTCACTTTACCTTTTCTGAAACTAGAGGAAATGTTTAAAAACATATTAAACCAGATGTCCAGGTTAATACCATATCATAATAATCCTGTAAAGGAAAGATGTGTATACTTACCTATTTTTAGGGCACTTCGGGTTGTCACATGATCAGAACCCAGCAGTGGGTTTCAGCAGAGTGGAGGGATAATAGTAAGGTGTCTCAATAGTAAGTCTATGGGTGACATGACCACCCAGGTTTTGCAGCCATTGCCACTGCTCTCTGTCTTAAATTAGGTAAGTATACATATTTTCCATTTACAGGATCACTAGTTTAGGGCTTAGAATGGGGGTTGGAGCAGGTTTAAGATTAGTTAGGGTTAGCCCAGAGATCTACTTTACATTACAAATTAATTTACACTTTTCAGTTTTAAATCCAGAGGGCCATAGATGAACCACCACAAGATGTCCTTGTACTTATGGAAACTATGGAGCAGGCCAGGACTTGTGCTAGTGTCCACAAAAATTAATGTCAATTTACATAGCTTTTCCCACTTTCTGTTTAGTTTTAAATTATTATGTGGCTCCAGCAACCCTGCAAATTCTGAAACAAACCTTTTGAGCTAGATGGGGGGTATGTGAAATCAGCAAAATGACAGATGCTTGCAGAATCTGTCATTTGATAAGGTACATACCATGGCCTATTCAGACTGGACACAATTCAATTGTATTTTAAATAAAGCAGTGTTCTGCCAAGCACAACCTGTATTTAACCACTTGACTCACAGAAGATTTACCAGGCCATTTTCTGCTATACGGCACTGCGTTACTTTGACTGACAATTGCACTGTAATGCAACACTGTACACAACTGAAATTTATATATTTTTTTTTACACAAATAGAACTGTGGTATTTGATAATCAGTGTGTTTTTTTTGTTATTGCGCTATAAATGAAAAAAGACCTAAAATTAAAAAAAAAAATTATATATATATATATATATATATACACACACACATACACACACACATATATATATATATACACACACACACACACATATATATACACACACACACACACACACACACACATATATATACACACACACACACACACACACACACACACACACACACATATACACACACACACACACATATACACAGTTTACGAAATAAGTATTAGATCCCCAGTTGATTTTGAATGTTTGCCCACTCAAAGAAATGATCAGTCTAAAAATTGAATGGTATGTGTATTGTAATACTGAAAGACAGAATAGCAACAAAAAATAAATATAAAAATCCATGCCTAACAAATTATGCACTAATTTGCATGTTCATGAGGGAAATAAGTATTTGATTCCCTTCACAAAACATGACTTAGTACTTGGTGGCAAATCCCTTGTTAGCAATCACAGAGGTCAGGCATTCCTGTAGTTGGCCACCAGGTTGGCACACATCTCAGGAGGGATTTTGGCCCACTCCTCTTGGTAGATCCTCTCCAAGTCATTAAGGTTTGGTGGCTGACGTTAATGTGCTTCTTCTTGAGCCACTCCTTTGTTGCCTTGACCGTGTGTTTTGGGTCATTGTCATGCTGGAACACCCATCCACGACCCATTTTCAATGCCCTGGCTGAGGGAAGAAGGTTCTCACCCAAGATTTGACGGTACATTGCCCCATTCATCGTCCCTTTGATGCGGTGCAGTTGTCCTGTCCCCTTAGCAGACAAACACCCCCAAAGCAGAATGTTTCCACCACCATGTTCATGTTTGACAGTTGGGATGGTGTTCTTGGGGTCATAGGCAGCATTCCTCCTCCTCCAAAACGGCGAATTGAGTTGATGCCAAAGAGCTCGATTTTGGTCTCATCTGACCACAACACTTTCAGCCAGTCCTCCTCTGCATCATTCAGATGTTCAGTGGCAAACTTCAGATGGGCCTGGACATGTACTTTCTTGAGCAGAGAGACCTTGCGGGCACTGCAGGATTTCAATCCTTGTCGGCGTACTGTGTTACCAATTGTTTTCTTGATGATTGTGGTCCCAGCTGCCTGGAGATCAT